ACCGAGCTGCTGAAATTACAAAGAAAATTACCGATCAGAATAAATTAATTAAAACGAAGGATTTGTTATGCGCAAATTCAGCGGCCTGAAATGAAGATGCTAATAGAAGCGACAGTGTGTTTGCTGCAAATCTATAAATATAAATTCATTACCAACACCACTGTGTTCTCCATCCACGCTTAACTGGACTCAGTTTGATAGATTTCTGAAAAATAAATATAATCTGTGCCGGCACTAATGGCTTGAGCTTCTTCATAAGGCAGCGAGGAACAAATTGAAATAATTTACGGCTGTAGGGCTTTGAAATATTCCACATGAAGCAGGGACACCGGAGACATCTCAGCATGTAGAGGATGTATTTGTTCCCTCCGATAAAAACACGAAAGAATGTGAGGAATTATGAAGGAAAACTGCCGTAACATCACTCGGCGAGTTTATAACTCCTAAATTCTGAATCAGAATTATGAATTCAAACTAAAACGTTATCTTGCCTGAGCACCATGGATTTGTGCTCTCAGTCAGCACCTCCTCCTGTGGCTCTGTGTGCACAGGAGGCTCCCTAAACGATCTGAAGCCATGAGCAGTGTAGTAGAGTACTTCTTCATTAACAGCTTATATTTACTCATATGCTTTGAGTGTTTTATGCCGTATGTTCATATAAGATTGTGTTTTAAAAGTTTGGGGGCATCAGGGGAGATTGTGTCCTTGCAGAATTACAACGTGGCTTAAGAGACTTACGAGGGTGATAAAAGGGAATTTTCTTAGAGGATAAATTACGCTGATGCATCCACAGCTTCCCCGTGTTTATGTGAAGACTCCTGCTGCAGTCAGTAAGCCCAGAAAAATGTTCTCCAGAAGAAACATGTGGATGTGCATATGCATGTGCCGACTCAGCAGGAACAGGATGAGAAATGTTCAGATTGTACACTCACCTCTCACCCTATGTTAGCTGGGATAGGCTTCGGCCCCCTGAGGCACCTCGATAGATAAGAGGTTAAGGAAGTAGATGGAGGGATAATTATTTGAAAGCAATATCAAATGCCTGGGAGCCTAAGTGCATTACTTTCCAGACGTTTCTACCATAAACTGAGAGAAAAGGTAGCAAAAGATGCTGGAAATAAAGCAAAAGCGTCCCATCAGTGCTGAAACAAACCTGCAAATTCTGCCTTAGAATCACAGGCACAAATGACGGTGATACACAGAACAGAAATCACTGCAGTTAAAGATGCCGTCGCCCTCCGTCAACACATCCGCCCCAACACCCGCCTCCAAAATCAACAAAGCTTTCCATGTTGTGTTAACTCATTTTATTACACGTTAACGGCAGTAAAAAGTGTGACATACAGGCTCAAGTCACTAAACACACAGCGCGAGCAGCAGCAGTGCTTTCAGCTTGTATGTGGCGTCTTCAGGAGGCCACGTGTGTCAGTCCCCTCAGGCAGCTGCTGCTGCTCTGATCAACAATACTGTGGCAGAACAAAGGATGGCCCCCTCCTCTTTAGTGTTAGAGGAGGTCCTTCCTTCCTTCAGGGTTTTCTCAGCTGTCTGGATGCTCTGGTTTGTTCTGGATCGCACAAACCAAAGTTGAAAATGGCATAAATAAGAGCAAACTCCCCGAGGTTGAGGGATAAAGGCTACAACACAGAACTCTTCTTAGGTCAGAATGAACTTTCAGCATCATGGCATCACCTGTTTCTGACAGATTACCTCTCCTTTGGTTAGAAATTAAAATACTGGGGCAGTGAGGCGTCTATACGCATCGAACTTAACGATGACAGATCCAAATGTCGAAGCCCAATGTGTCTTTTCTCTCTTGTATTAAGTCCCAGTAGAAGCAGGGCGTGGGAGAGTCAGGCCAGCATGACGTAGTTCTCGGCGATCTCCAGGACGTAGAGGTTGGAAAGCCCCGACGGGTCCTCGCTCTGATGCGTTTCTAAAAGGACCATCCTGCAGCGAAAAGGTCACGTGTCAAACACTGATCAGCACAAAAAGTTCTATTAACCCTTTAAGACCTACCATAGAACCAAGTCCGCCAGAGCTTATATTATATTTTTACATGCTGTAGAGCCATTTTTGGGAGCATTTCAAGTTGCTATACATCAATACAACCATTACAGCCTAAATTTTAATAATATGTCTGCATTAAGTGCATAGTAATTACATA